TTCCTAGAGAGTCCGGAAGGCATGAAAATGTAGCTAGTTGGTAGTGAAAAACTGAAAACAGGTTCATTACTTAACGCGATTCAGATTGAATACCTTAACGACACATCTTCGCATAATTTGTCCACATGGGCTGCTGGAGCAGGTGTTCTCATCTGTTCCGTTTCTAGCAAGTTTAAGTCTTACTGGGCACTGTGACTCGACGTTTGGTCGATAAATTAGATTCACCTGAAAAATGGGGTGCTTTTGAGCGCACTTAATGCCAAAAAATAGTCAGCTGAGGGAGCTTCATCATTTTTCGCTTGTGTATCTTGCTTGTGATATTTTTACCTTGCAGTTATTCACAACGATAGGTTCATCATCTTGTTCGGTCACTTCAGATGCTTCGTTCGTATACCTTACATATTATCTCTCTGGATACCCTTGTATTATACACTGACAATATTACGTTTAATAGGCTGAATTTAATTTCGCTAAACCTTCATTCTTCCTCTTGTCTACATCTCAGTTTTGCGACTACGCTAGCCTCTCGTGATCGGCCGCTACTCCGAGAACCGGAAAACAACTTTTAGTCACTTCAGCTTGATCCTGTCTGAGTTAACTCTTGTGTGCTATTTGATAACCGCGCTTATTCATATCCATACTTTTTGCACCTTCCATTTAGGAACTTTACGAATAACCCGGTTTTTAATAACCACAGAAATAAAATATTTGCCCTCTGTTCTTTCAAGAAAATCTCTTGATACTGCTTATGTGGGGTTGAAAACGGGGTGGGATTTCAGTTCTTCATTCCCCTCGAGTTTCTGGATATCTGTTTGACTGGCATGAAAACTGGCTACTGAATTTATCGAGCAATATAGCAAAATATCTTGTCAGGAGAACACATTTCCATTTGTCCCTATGTAGCATAATTGGACTTAAAATATTTGGCACATTTCAATGCACAATGCTCCATTCTGGTCAGATGACTGTTCAGTTGACTCAGAACATATAACATCGGTTTCCGAGAGACTACATTGTTCGTCCAGTATATAATATATAATGTATAACGTACATTGTATAGTATCGACCAGAGTTCCTTCTGATGCTGACTGAAAGTACATCTATATGGCACATCCATAAGATAACTTCGATTCCACCTTCGAACCATAGGCTAGATGAATAAGTAATACACTTGGAATATACACCACAAGAGTTGGACTTTATCGTTAGCTTCTGCCTTGTCTGTTGTGTTTTAATGACGAACTCCCAGTTCACTTGCTATCAGAAAAACAAAGGACACCGAACCGGACGAGTTCTTTTTACATTAACGCGCCTCAAAACCAAACGACTCGACAACGCACTTGTGACAAGATAATCATTTGACGGGTGATCTGTAGCCCACTAACGAGGGCTTGCTTCCAACCTGCATGGCATAAACAAGCCTCTCAGATTACCCTCTCGGGATCCCATCCCCACCAAGCTCACGACTCGAGAACCTGCGATTGACGTGATTAGAACAGCCCCACCATGTTGGCTGCCAGGGTGAGATTGGCGCCCGTGGTTCTCCACCCTAGTACATGTCCGAAAACCGGGGTACATTGAAAAGAGCTTACATCATGCCGCTTGGTGAAACTGGGTGGTAGAGCGGCTATCCACGAAAAAAAAGGCGAGGGTGACTCTTAAATCGGTCACTGGACCATCAACTCCTTTCGTTAGTTTGTGATAAGCAGGTAGAATGGATGCTGTATCGGTGAGCGGCTACCTTGGGGTGTATGTTTGGAGGATGCGTCCTGCAGGCGAATTCCCATTCGTCCACCAACTATTGTTTTGCTACGGTGCCTAAGAGATTTGCTGCGGTTCCCGGGAAAGCAGAACCACAAATAGTGTGTCGTTCAAGCGTCCAAGATACATACAACAGTATGTATAAAAATATACGATGATTGGACAAGTATGGAGGATTGATAGCCATAACCATATCTAACTGCTTTGCTCAATATTCCAATTAAACACCCACTATTGGTGGACCATGGTGGTTATCAAGAGTCCATACTTTCCACGCAGACGTAGCCCTCTCTGGTCGGATGTCACCAGGTTCCGACAACTCCGGCAGCTGGGTAAAAAATGGGTGTCCCTAGGCCAATCAGGTGGAGATCTATCAGTCTGAATGCCCTAAATCGAATAGGGACAAAAAGAACCTAGAAAAGACGGGTGGTCTTTATTGTGTTTCACACAGTATGAACAGATGCCGTTGGAAGCACCACCTAACCAAATGTTCACAACAAGCGCCAAGGCGAACCTCTATACACTGTTGTGCTTTGAAAGACCATGAGGGATGAACAGATCAGAAAACCAATTTATAAATATTTACTCGTCTCAGGATTTATGCTACTGTAAAGCTAATAAGCAATCGCAGAACACATTCACCAGCTCACAGCGAACCATGTATGACTTCTACCAGACAATGAAAATCCCTCACATTACAACACTAAAAGAATTAAGAATACATCGGTTTGTCATGGGAAGTGAGGCAATTTCCCGAATAATGTTATGAAACTACTGAAAAGGACTCGTAAGACTAGGAAGCAGCATAGGAGGGACAACGGAAAACATTATGGTAGGACGCACACCAAGGCTGACAGACTGAACGTCGTCTCGCCTGAGGGGATCCCAAGTTGGAAACAAACCAGAAGCACCAGAGTGAAGCAACTGCATTCCAAACTAAACCCGATGGGTCGGAAGTTCATAGCGAGATCCATGGATCATTGAATAAGTAAAAAAACAATTATCAATGTGGAAACAGCTATGATAAGTGATTTGATATCGTGGCCCTCCCAGAGACAACAAAGCCTCAGTGAATTCTGAATTATATTCAATGTATACAAATGCGGAACGACTTTGACAAGGGTCATACCAAGTCACGTAAAGTTAAGTGAGTTTGTATATTCATACAAGACAATTCGTAGACGAGGTATCGAAAGGCAGCGGAAACCCGAACTCGTTTCAAATGTCCCTTTGTATTCCCGATAAAAGATGAATCAACTTCTGTCCTGTCACACAGTCGGCAACTCCACAAATGTCGATTAAACGGCCCGGATGATTCGGCACTACCTACTGAGGAAACACCGAGAAAGCTTGTGGAAAAATCCTCATTGGACGAAACATTTCGTGCGAGGTCAGTGTGGACAAGGCTGCCACATTTTTTGCAGGCTAACATCTGAAGGGAAGAAACAAAGAAACGTTTGATAAAGCAGGATGGGCATATAGAACACAAATGCAAAACCGTGGTGTATGGGCTTGTAACCTCCGTTGACTCCCATCCGGTGAACGCCCTGGAATGAAGCGAACGAACACTTTTACGACTCCAGTGAGCAAAGTGTCACAGATGGAAAACTGTTCGCCTGGTCAGAACTGCGGAGACTTGATTTGGCAATCAATCTGGTGTATCACGGACACTCCAAGCCAACTTAATCGTAAGCTATGAAAATGCCAATCGCCATATACGAGCAACAATATCGCACCACTCACTGTCCGAAAGAAAACTCCAGTCCTACGGAAATTTCAACGGCTAGACATAATTCAGCTGATAGGACGACAGTAAAAGCTAATATTATATGGTTCCTCACAGGAAAGTGGCCAATTTTTTCTGCGGGTCAATCATCATCATTACGTTTTCAATATCATCTTACAGTGCGATCCTGTATCAAATGTTTACACTCTTCATCCAAGAGTTTTCTCTAAAGAATATCCTGCCCATTGGTCACTGAAAGTTGTGTCCAAAAAAATCACTCAACTGTGACATCTTTAAATCCCACGGTTGCCATAACAGCAGTAGGAGATGCGAGGTGAAATAAATCTACGTTTGTCTGAGGGGATAAACACACTGTCAGGAAGGAGACAGTGAGAAGCCATAAACAATGAGACACAACATCTATATTTCTTCGGTCGTAAACATGCAGGAAACATAGCCTTAAATAGTAGATATAACGCTGAACAGAATCGTTCATTGCTCAAACAAAAAAGAAAGAGGAACATTCAATTACCTATACGTAAAGATTGACTGATCATCCACACTATTGTATTTATTCTGTTCCATTTATATTGCTTTGTAAGTTCGATAACAGACTCAAATGCAGTTAAGCGTATTTTTCTGGTAAACGATAACTTTGCTCGAGCTATCCCACGCCAGCAGATTGTGTGGCAACTCAAGTGCACTCCCCTGACAATGAAATTTCCTGGCCCCGATGGGTTCTTTTTAACCGTTTTACGGTTAAAACAAAACGAATGAACCATTTAGTTCTGTCTAATTTCCTGTTCATCTGGGATCTGGAAACCACGACTGCCGCCGAGAATCGACGCTGTCTGCTCTCCTCCAGATGAGAAAGAAGTCGGAACCATAAAAATGCACCAATGTAGCACCTACCGTAACAGTATCGCAGTTGGAGTCCACCATTCGATCTTGCAAAGTAAATGAAAGCCCTTGAGATAGGAGACAGTCTCGCTCCATTTCACCGAGACGGATTCCTCCGCCCACTTTTCGACCTTTGATGGGCTGGCGTAAAATAGGGTCAAACCGACCTTGTGATCGGACCTATGAAGATAATATCAAGAGCAAATGAAGCTTCATATCAAAGTACGTTAGTGAGGAACGTGAGCTTTTCAACCACACAACATGCGGAACACACACCTACAAGGATGGGAAAAGTCAAACGAAATAGAGTGATAGCTCAACAATTCCTGATGCCTATAGTTACTCATGATTGTTCAAAAGAAGGCTTAAGACTTACATTTCTGGTACTCAAAACTATTTAAGATCAAAGCGATCTCCTGGGACATCGTGAAGTGTAAACAAAATGAAGGCATTTCAATGGACAGACAACGGATAGACAACGCAGAGAATAATTCAAAGTCCCAAACACGTTGGAATCATATGACTGTGGTACGGTGTCGTCAGGCATATGCACGACGTATGTGCTTAAAATTATGCTGGGTAATATTTATCAGACTTCGCGATTCATCTACCTAAAGTTTACGGCACAGTACTGTTCCACACCAGGGTGCCTCCAAAGAGAGTGCTTCCAAAAAGAGCGCGAAAAGGATCAGCCCAAAACATGATTGCATTGCCAGACAGTCTTCTTCCCAAGACAGGTGCTTTCACGAAGGGAACATCTGTTTAGTCAATCCAGGCGATTATTTGGGTTGAGGTTCCTGTACTGCAAGTGTTCACGATTGGAACCATCCACCTTCTGGAACTCACATTATAGGACGATACAATCAGCACGAGAATTCATCAAAGTTTGATGAAAATCATTTTGCCTGGTGAAACACCGCACACTTATTAATTGAGAACTACACCAAACATGCCTTTTTGCTTAAGTTACTTTGAGACGCCATCTATTCCCGCAGGTATTTCGGAATACTCTCAGACAAGTCCATGAGCCCAACGATGGGGCAAATTGCATAGCTATCAGCCTGGAACCACTATTCGGTAGAATCAGGGAGCGAATAGCAATCTGTCATATAAATCACAAATAATCAAATGGAGGCACTGCAATGCCCGTTTTAGTGCTCTAAAGGTTAAATCGCGTGTCATGTCAAGTCCACTGGAAAAAAAAACATTAATGATGAGGACGTTAGACTGTTGGCTCATCACTGGTTTTGTCGATAATCTGTCATTTTAATTCCGGTAAATTGGTGTTTAATGCTTCAAACCTCATACTACGTCACAATACTTAACTGGTGTTCACATCGGCAACAAGAAACTGCACGAGAGTAGAGCTTACAGCGTCTGAACCCCGGAAGGGAACGCTTCCATTTCGGTTGATCCAGAACATGAACGACCCTTGGAGGAGCTATTTACATTCTAGTATATGAGCTCAGATCAAATACATTAGGCGGGTTCTTATGCGTGAGAAGATAAGTGACTTTCGCTTTGAGATCAAGCTGCAGTCTATAACCTAAAGCGGTCGCCTTGTCGTCGTGATCGGGCTTTTGTGCTGCAATGATCCTGCAGGCTGTATAGGGCAGGAACTCAGTAACCAAAGTTCCAACCATGCCAGGAAGGTCAACGGCGAGCAGCCCGGCGAGGAACAGCAAATCCCGTACTGCGCTTAATCGTATTACGAGGCGGCCTGGAGGTAAAGTTGTACTGTCCTCTGCGATAGGAGTGTGAAGGCAGTAAGGTGTTCCCCCAGGCGACCAGCATGTCCATATTCATGGAAGCAGCGATGCTCCCTTCGCTCGGGGAAGGACGAGTTATGAAAGGTCGGTCCCGAAAACGCACACTCCGATCGCCCAACGATTGACCGTGACCACTGGCACATTATTCAGTGTGGTCGAAATATCTTTAGGACCAAAGAGTCTGCTGGTGCTCAAAAGTCACCTGCTGCGCGCAGCCACATCAGCAGTGAGACAGTAATGCCTTAAACCAAGCGTCCTGGGACCAAGCCGGCCCCGTACAGCCACGTGGGTCGGACTATTAAGTCATTGGCTTCGGGCAGAGTCCCCCAAGAAAACCCTAAGAACCACTGTCTCTTGCGGTTCAGACTTTTAAATCAGATGCTAGGTGTAAGGTCCCGAAACAAAACCCTACATCCTTCCACGGCCCAGTGGGCCCGACTTTTGAGCCAAGAGGCTCAGCTAAACCCCGTTCTTCGGCCAAAGCAACCGAGAAGTATAATCTTTTCGCTAACCGGCTTTTCCCATACTCCCTCCCCACCCATAGCACAATGCAGTACAGTCAACCCATCTGCCAACACCCTTACCACTACTCCGCGTCTAAACCTTCGTCCAGAAAAATAAACCAAAATAATAGCGATAATAATAAATCATTCAGCTTTGCCACTCTTTTGGTGCCTAATGCCATGACACCCGAAGGAAGAACGAGGGCTGGGATACTGCCAGGTTGCCCAAGTATGGACAGGGGAAGTCGGGAGGCAGAGGCCGGGTTCGAACCACGGACCTTCTGGTTAGTAAATTCGCGCTCTAACCAGTAAGCTTCAAGAGATCTGACCAGAATTGCAGCCTCTAATGTCCGTCCTGTATGTCAAATGGGGTAACAGACATCCCTTGCTGAAACCTTGCTTTCCCTTTTCGATATATGATGTCTCCGAAAGACGCTTACAAGACCCCACTTCGGTCCCGCTCCTCAAGCCGCTTAGTACGAGCACGGATGTTCCACAGTTCACTCTTCGGGTATCTGGTGATCCTGACGCAGTGGTTCGTGGTTTCTACGTTGTGATTGTTGAACTCAACCCCTAGGCTGAAAGCGCCTTACTGGACTGGATCCCAGTAAACAGACGCCTTTGCGCTGTGCGGCTGTCTGGTTCCATTAAGATTAACGCAGGTCGATATAGTAAACGGTGTTTGTTTGCCGTATCAGCCTACGCCCCAACTGACTGCACTTCTGAAACTGAGAAGGACGAGTTTTATCAAGATCTGTCACGACTGCTTCGGTCGGCAAGAAGGATGGATATACTGATCCTGACGGGTGATATGAATGCCCAATTTGGACGACTAAGTCCGGAAGAAGCACAGTTAGGTGGTCGATTTAGGGTCGTTGCTGAGCGTACGTATAATGGAAAGCGATTTCTTCAGTTGTGTGCAGATCATCGTTTGTTCCTGGCCAGTACAAACTTTCAACACAAACGCACACATCGAGTTACTTGGAGACCACCTACCACAAGACAGTCGAGGACTCAATTGGGCCATTAAAGGGCCTCAGTTAAGGACTGTCTTTCCTTCTGGGGTACGCAACTTGACTCTGATCATACCAATGTACGGGCTCGGTTGGAACTTCGCTTTCCGCCAGCAATACACGTGCCAAAAGAGAGCAGCTCCGTCCATAAATTTCGGCAAGCTTCAGCAGCTTGAGAATATCCAGTTCACCTGGCTAGAAAGCTACTGGAAGCACAGAGTCATGCGGAGGACGAAGAATGCTTGGAAGTTGAATAGAGGCGAGTTAAAGAAGCAGTGCTCACAGCTTTCTAAACTGTTTGCCCAGGCCAACCGACTCGAGGCCGCAACCAGAAAGACCATGGCCGCAACTAGTGATCATGATGGCGCACGCAGATCCCTCAAACATTGGATAATCAGGAGCTTGAAGAACGGCATAGAACGTCAGTGGACTGCGGAGGCCAAGGACATGGCAGGAAACAGCCGCACCCTGCTCCAATGGATTCGATCCATCGGTCAAAAGAAGACAGGTGCCGGTTGAACAATATGAGAAAAGGACGAAACAGCAATTCACTCCGTCAATCGTCGCCTTGAGTGGTGGGCTGAGCACTTCAAAGAACAGTGCACCTGGTATCCTTCAACACAACCGCTGGAAGAACGACGCGGGTCCGAACGAAACAGTGACACCAACGCGCCATCAACAACCGAAATCCAGTATGAGATTTCAAACCTGAAGGGCGACAAGGCACCTGCCTCGGATGGTCTGCATCCAACATTCTTCAATGGTGGCGAGGTCCTGGTGAACAAGGATGTCCCTCCCAAATTTATATCCCTTATGAGGGCACCGTATGCGAACTCCTCTAGACGCGTACGAGTATACGAGAAGCTTTCGTTTGAGTTTACCACGTCCATTAATGTAAGACAAGGCCGTCAACTCTCGCCTTTCATCTTCAACTTTGTTATTGATATGCTACTTGAAATCTTCCAGCCTACCTCTGAATCAAAATGCTTCCGGGACGTTCGCTCATAGATATTGAGTATGTAGACGATATTACTCTCCTTGGTTCAGATCCTTCCCGAATGCATGCGTGCGCTTTACACCTGCAAAATGTTAAGTGCTGCTACAAGACTGGGTGGGATCAAACCCATACCTCTTGCTTGCAGGCGAGCCAAGTGACTAGGTAGATAAATTTGTTTACCTGGGCAGCTGTATAAGTCCCGGCACAGTGGCTGGAGATGCGGTTGTATCTCGGGAAGGCCAGATCTGCGATTGTGCGATCTATACTGCTTTATGGAGCAGAAGACATACGGAAGATGTCAATGTTTGACCAAGGGTTTCTCTGTGGTTTAAATATCACACCATTCTAAGTTACAAGATCACCTAACCGAAAGGCTACACTGCTAAAACTCTTGCGTTTTCAATCACAGTTCAGATGTGACTTATCGAAACTTAGAAGCGATCGACCTTAAAGTATGTTGATCGGAAGCCGAGCATTTTTTCAGTATTACCGCGGACAAAGGCACTAATGGTTTGTTGCGAAATAATTTTTGTCGACGGATACCTAGAAAAGCACAAGTAAACAAAAACAACTCCGAATTAATGATGAATCTAAGAGATAAATGGTACCGGTTTATTTTACCGAAAAGAGAGACATATGTTAGTAAACTCACTTGATACTTGTCGGCCACCATATGCCTGAGTCTTTGATAATAGACAACTCCAATATAAATGTGTGCTTCCAGCTGGCGACCGTTGCATCCAGACATCATCATCTCCGTTCCCCAGTAGTTGAAACCACAGTCTGCCAACTGACGACAGTAGTCTGTGAAGGGTGGGTTATCTTCCGTCCACTGAAATGGTGTTGCGTCTACCCGTTTACCTAAAAAGCAAGAAGGACGAACATAGACGACTGCGGTAGGGGGTTTGATATGCAGGTCTATGACAGCGGAAAAGCACCGGCGTAAGACAGCATCTTTTAGTGTATCTCGAAAACGGCATTCATAGTTCAATAATCATCAATCCGACTTTTGAATTCAGCGCCGTTCACGAATTCCATATAGCCCATCTAGAAGAAACAGTTTCCGTGATTCCAAATTAAGAAAAATGAGAGATCGATGAATGTTGGAAGTTCACCATTCCTGAACGACAACTAAAAGCACATCATGAACTGCTTCCTGTTTCGTTTGAAAAATGACTGAGTGTTGAAATTATCGGTCAATTTCTCCAAGTACTCAATCCTTCTGATCAAGGTAACTTCGAGAGTTCAGGCTTTTGTATAGACTGGGATCAGTTGACAACGATGCACTCAGAAAAACATCCCAACATTAAGGCATCCTCAATTCGAATCTGTCCTACAGATCCACAAGATTTCTTTCCTCTGGATTACGACTACCTACACCCGCCACATATATCTTTTCCTTTTCACTCATTCCGATTTGCCACGCACGAACGACCGCGGATTATGGTCAACTAGTATCTTCCCAATACGGAGAGAAAAATCTGGCCTCTCGGAAAGCGCGCGAAGGCATGGACACACGTCAAGTTTGAGGTTACAACGTCATTTTGATTGTTTTGATTATCTCCCATGGTCTGGTGTTGACAGCGAGGCGCTTTGGTGTGCATTCTGCATAGCTTTCATTGCAGTTTTAAGGGGTTTCGTGGTCACCTTACCTTGGACTGCAGCGGACCGACTCGCGAGAGCCGGTGGAAAATATTTCATTCAGAAAACGCTCACTACATTGAAGTACTTCAATTCCAACTCACGTAAGTATTGACCGGGACAAACTTCCCAGTTTGGCTGTTTGGTTTCTTATTAGTGTTACGAAATGCCTCTGGATGTAAAGCTGTAGTACAGCTCTGATGTGAGAGTGATATGCTCGCGATTATTCTAGATATTCTCACTGAGTACCACCACCATGCTCCAATTACTGACCCACGATGTAATAGAGGTGACAATCATTTTCGCCGCTGCTTTCTGTGCCTCCCCACCTACTGAATTTGATAACAAGTGCATTTCCTCAGGTGAGATAATATCGACTCCCTGGCATGTTTTAGCACACCGGATATAGACCAAATGCCGTCGTATCAGAAAAAGAACAATTCAGTTGCGCTGAATACACAGGAATGCGAACGACTTGTCATTCGGCCTCACAAATTACTGACCAAAAAATGCACACGCAAGTGTGTTTTATCTGGACCTTCCTGCAAAGATGAGATGTCCCAATTATAATGTGTGAGATCGTTCGCCCCAAGATAGCCTGTGACTACGGAGAATGTTATAAATTCAAGCCTAGTTTTTTTTTTCGGACAAAGATTTAGAGTAATCGCCCTTTAAGAAGACGACGAGTTGATAAGTGTGGTTATTTTCTTTAGAAGAGGGACCTGTGTTACGGAGATCAGTACAACAGCTGTGCACCATTCTATTGTACCAACATCCCCAGCCTTCCGTCAACCATGAGCGTGGGCAGGTGGTTGTTCTGTGGTAGTCCCCATCACAATCCTGGTTATCCGTCATCTTCGAGCAAAATCCCTTTGCTCGTCACACAGGACATGTGACACGTTATCGTGACAGTAGTCGCTCTATAGCAGTAGAACTTCCTTTATTGACTTTGATATGATACCTCATCTTCGTTGAGATTGTTTGATCCGATATCCCCAGTTGAAGTAATCGCTTAAGCTTGCCTATCGGAATATGTGGATTGACCCAGACTGATACTCTAGATGACGTTTGGATATGGTTGTCTGACGCGAACGAAAGAAAAGACCAGTATGTACGGGCCCAAATACACATTAATACATTACAAATGATCGACGATTGTGGCCTTAAGAACAACTGCTGGTATCCGATGAATCGGCGAACCCAACTCAGAACCACGGATTTAGAAAAAGATGAACCGGTACACAGTTAGGACCAGATTTAGTCACATGGATGCAGGTAGCCCCGTCGATCATTGCGTTACGAAAGTCTATTGCTCAGTGCAACGGTGTTCGGGCACACAAATTGACGAATAGAAACAGGAGTCATAAACAGAAATAGCTAAGATTTGAAGTGAATGAACTGAAACGAACGAAAATTCCACCTACTCTAACCCCAACCACGACTAGTATCGTAGCACTTACAAACTCATACAGACCAAGAAAATGTACCAGTGACACTGAAAATGAATCATCGACTGAGGTGCCTTGAACCGGACCAAAACCAGACAGAAAATAACTTCAAATTCACCCAAATCATGAAACCTAAGATTTAAGCAACCACACTGCCCGACAACACATTTTAACTGACACTCAACACTGACTGAGTATGTTAATCGAAAGAGGTCTTGCTGATAGGCTCTTTGTCTGCTTTAAAACCTGGCCAAGTTGGTAACCCGCTCACTTGGTTTGAAGCATTTGTGTCAAAAGCGAAACGTTGCCCAGTTGAAAACTACCGACTGTTTACGAAGCCCTTCCGAAAGAACAAGCTTCTCGTTTGTCTCCAAAAAGGTTTGAAAGCAAGATATACGATCAGGTGAGAGCATGACATCACTGAATAAATAAATAACTAAGACGAACACCTTAGTTGTTTAATAGTGGATCAGGGAATGATGAACAAATGATTCTGTCCGTAAACCAATCAAAACTAAGGCGAATGAGGCAAATAAGCTGGAGAACAGAGGCTACATTTACTAAAGGCTATGAATGCGGTACCGATTGGGGCATAGAGCTGTCTACTACCTTGCGGAAGAGTTTAAGCCATTTGACACACCAAAATAAGGCAAAAGTTGTTGATGAAACAATGAACAGTGTCGACGAGCCAACCCGGAGTAAATTAGAGGGCCCTCATTGTTGTTCTCCTTAAATAAAATTTGTCAAAATTCCGAAAAATCTTGACCTTGTAATGAATCATCCTTATTCAAGGTCATTTTTCGAAAGGCACTAAGTAAGTGAGGTGGCGCCTGAATGGATTCGTACTCAAAGGCCTTATTGTATTGTGGATTGTAACAAGGCAAAATGGCACTTAATGCCGAGAAAAAATAACTTTAAGCAATGGCACAGCTATAGCACCCTTTCAGCGCCTAGCTGCCATGCCACCCGAATGAAGCGTGAAGGCCAATATAATGCTAGGTTGCCCAAGCCAGGAGCAGTTGAGAGCGACAATCGAGTTGGGCGAAAGACGTACCAGTGAGGGCGGCAGATTTCCCTGCTAGAAACTCCACCATCATACCCATAGTCATACGAGTAGGGAATCCGTGGGGATTGAATATTAGATCGGGAACAACGCCGCTAGTTACTGACCAAGGCATCTCATCACTTGGCACAAGCAGACTATTGATTCCCTTTTGACCATGCCGGCTGCTGTATTTGTCGCCGATGTCCGGTGGCCGCGGAAGCCTCAGGGTTATTGTGGCCTGCAAGACAAACAAATAACCACGGTTGTAATATCATTTTGTTAAAAAAGAAGGAATTGAAAAACACCACCTCCCCCCCCAAAAAAAAAACGTTAGGTCTTCAGGATCACGAATAATTAACACAATTTAGTCGGGCAATCATGCTACTCATAAGTAGCTAGGTCGTTTCGCCTCAAGGTGCATGATCATTATTAAGCCATTACTAATTTGAAACTTTTCGGTCCCAACAGGGTACATCGGGTGCGTACAGGACGACAGTGAGACATTTTAGCCATCAGTTGCACACTTGTGAACTATGTACCAGCCGACTCATTGATGAACTAGTACGAAACTAACCATGCCGTTACTAAATAGATCATCTTGGCTCTCTACTGTAGTTCGAATTTAGCGTGGACTGTGTAGGAATCACTGGGATACACTGGTGCAGAGAAATGCACCACACCCGGTAAACCGATGTGGTTCAGATGAAGCTATGAAAAACACGTTTCCGGTGACATCTGCACCCCATTATATTACGGGATGCATAAATACATGTAAATTTGTATACATGCATTGACCTTGTTTATCAGAGTACAATCGAGGTTTACGCAGCTGCCAGGATAAAAAATTCCAAACTTCATGTTGAAGCTTCACGGGGCCACAAAGGAAGTGAGAATTTTCAAACAACAGCTTGAGCTTTTCAGGTGCGAAACGAGTGGTCACTTCCAACTTCCATAACAGTGATGTAGCCAGTGCACTCCAAATGCATTAATCTTTCTTGAGCACTGGTCGATTGAAGTGTAATGGCAAGAGTAAATTTGTATACATGCATTGACCTTGTTTATCAGAGTACAATCGAGGTTTACGCAGCTGCCAGGATAAAAAATTCCAAACTTCATGTTGAAGCTTCACGGGGCCACAAAGGAAGTGAGAATTTTCAAACAACAGCTTGAGCTTTTCAGGTGCGAAACGAGTGGTCACTTCCAACTTCCATAACAGTGATGTAGCCAGTGCACTCCAAATGCATTAATCTTTCTTGAGCACTGGTCGATTGAAGTGTGTATTGCAAGACTGCACAAGTGGCAAAACTAGGCCCTTAAAGATAGCAGACCTATCTGCGTTAACACTTTCGGACGGTTTACTGTGAACTTCAACACGATCAGGGGTGTTGGGATAAATGTCACTGACAGACTTCGATGGTATTCCGTTTTATACACGCATATCTAAGTGCTATTTTATCCACACTGTCAAACGCCTCGTTATTGAGGGTCATTGTTACTTACGGCGCTACTCAGGTGAAATATTCATATATAGCTGACACATCCATCCAATCGACGAGACGTTCGGTTGCTTCAACAGGCTCGCCTCCGATATCTCCTTGAGAATGCTATTCGCCCGATTGATGCTTTGGCTTGCCTTGCGATGGCTCAGTAAAGGAAGGACTGTTAGTACTTGTCCGTCCGTCCCCTGGACAGTGAGTCTGCTTACCTATGGTTCGTTTCAGATGATTGCCCTCGACCTCGCGGTTATTTTGAAGTTGTACGGTAATGCTTGTGACGTGAGAACTCCGGTGGTTACGTTGTAGGCCACAATCTGCTGTCTGTAGTTGAGTCGTGTAGAGCATCCATAACGAGGACTGACTTGCAACTCGTGCTTAACACAGTATTCACTACGGCATTCACGTGAATGGTTTTAATGATATTCTCCATCAGCACATTATGGCCTTCGTGCGGTTGATATGATGTTCGTTCGGTCAAGCCGTCTATCCTGACCTTCCGGATGTCACCAGAAGACAGTATGGCCTTGGGACTGTGGATTAAAGGGCCACTGAAGTCGGGAAGGACCTTGCGTTGCGTACGCCCTGATTGGTCACCGATTTGGCTGCAACTCCAGTGATCACAAAACTGTCAGAATGTGATGTTCCGTACTGCCGCAATCTGCGGTTGTTGGTTAGAAACGGCAGTGAGGGGTTGGTCAAAGGGATGAAGCTCAGTAAGCCAGTTCGGATCTAAGATAGCAAGATCTGTGCAGCTGGTGAGGCAGTAAACACCGGCTTAGTTTCAGGATTGCAACAGATGAATTACCAACAGCACATTTTGCACGTTCAACTGGTGCCTCCCTTTGAAATCACAGTTTAGAACCTGTAGTAAGTTGGAAGGTAACCAACATACCGCTGTTGCGCACTGTGACAAATTTTCACTGACCGTGCTAGCTTCATCCTAAATGCGGTGATCACAGCCCCTAATTGTGTTATCTTTTCAGGTCAGTGTAAGCGCGAGCTCCTGAAGTTAGCTCTGTAGTATTCATTCTTTTTGAACTTTTCAACTATATCTGGTGCACTCATTTTCGATCGAGCGGTTGCGCGGAAAGTGGCAATCGTTAAAAACCAACAGGGCGTTGGTGGGTTTCGTGGGGTGCTTAGAATCTGACTGCCTTTTGAAAAATTACTTTGCATGCCAGTCGGGCTGAAGAGACTGGGAATATTCAATCGCCATGGTATAAGTCTTGAGGTTGGTAAAACACTGGCAGTCGGCGTTAAGCTTCTGTTCAATTCCACTCAGTCTTCGGGTCCGAATGTCTATATACCCTGGTTATTTAAGGCCAGCCACGAAGATGAGACACTTGAGCACTCAAATTCATTGTTGACAATACCGGTATACGTGATGAGCCAGTGAGCGATTGTCAAGCAAGAAGCTTTGGTCAGTGAATACATGGGCCAGAATTTTAATAGTATCTGTGATACCACGGTCACGAGAGAGTTCGGATAGGATGCGGTTTGTGGGCCAGTCCTGTTTAGCTCCACCCATAACTGGGCTGAACCCCTCCCAATAGTAATCGGTGTCCTGCAAGGCTACTCACACAGCGTTGCATTGTAGACTTAGGTATCGAGAGTGAAATACTTAATGAGTGCGTTAGATTTTCTGGATGACGATCAAACAGTGCAGTGATCATATGTATCATAGATGAGCGCATGATTGCGCATGTGTCAGCAAATGGGAGTTTATAAAAGAAATTTAGGGGCGTGAAACACTGAACAAGCCAAAGACAGGCACTTCAACTTCATGGATTCGTTTCGAGCTCGTTCATAGTGTTTGGTGAATCAATAAGTGTCACTGTAGCGTTCGGCTTTGGACCATATTTGTTAGGTATCTTGTCGAGATATTACCAGAAACGAAAACATGCCATTGGGCGGCACGGTTAGTTCACGGCAGATTAGGTTGGGATAATCGATTGAATCGCCGATGGACATGTGAAATGCATGAGTGCCTATAATTCTACAGTATGAGTTGCCCGGTGTGAAAATATCGCAGAAACGAAGCAACCAGCCAGAGTCGGTGAATGTGGAACCTAATCCACTATTCTGCTCGGTAGGATAATTCATTGGTGTGTAAACCCGGTTGACGGTGTAATGCGAACAATTGGGTGACTAATTTGGCAGAAGTAATTGATAATTACGGATTTTGATGCCGCCCAACGGAAAAGTACATACTACCTGACATTTACAGACCATATAAATCCTTCCAGGTCAAGTTCACTGAAATTCCCAATTAACAAACCCTCGACGAAATTTAGGTCCCTGTCCCATGTTGAAGCAAATGTTTTGGGTTGACTCCATCAAAGTATGCCCCTACATGCAACCTCCCTCGCCCACTCTCCAGAACTAGTTTTTTAAGAAGTCTAGTCGAACTTTTCCACAATCTCCTCATACTCCCATCAGACTTTTAGAAAGTTCTTATGTACTAACAAGGCCAATCAGATTTGTCGATAAATAACCGTCAGTGCGGCAACTGACTGAGTGGGTGGAGTGTATGCGCCACTGTTCTTCGCTCAAAAAGTGGAGAGCGTAGTTGCTGTGACATGCACAGACGTAGACGTGCTTCGTTAGTTGTTAGGTGGATTCTCCGACTAAGCAAACATTTCTTCAGCAGTCAAGGGGACATTAACAGTGAGGGGTTTGGCTGGTCGGCTACCGTTCGGTTACGAGTATGCGATGTCGGCAACTACAGTGAACACGTCCAGGGGAATACATTATTCTTAAATTCGGCAGGGTACGTACCTTGAGACGTTACTCCCCTGCGCAGTAAAATAAACTTTTTGTCCAACTCCTGTATCGGGTTTGTACCTTTTTCAGCGTCACTGACGGTACCAAACATTCTACTCAACACAAATTCGATTAACTGAAGGGAAGATTAGACCGATTCGAATGAGTGAGAACGTCAGAAATCAATCTCATGTGTGAATATCTGTCGTAGCTTATTAGTTATGTTTAGGCACTCGACTGACTGAGGAGAAACCAATTAAAATCTAACAACACAAGTAATTTCGAGAGATGCGCCTGCTTGGGAGGGGCTACTCTACTCGAAAATGGCAGCAAGTTCATTGGGCAATGGATACCTGTTGGTGTTTTGAAAACCGTCCTATACGCTTTCTGTCGTATTCAAACAGTGTGTGTGCGTATTTCAAATCGTGTTTAAACAATACTTACATGACTCCAAGACCCATTGAGTGAAATAGCATCCACATAAGCAATTTGTTCCCCTCCCTCGTACTTCACGACAGTCGTGTGTTGTGTTTCCATGTGAGTGTAACAATAGAGCGCACTAACACCAGGTTCAAGGCGTGTTCCGACCGGCGGGAATCCATCCCAATCCAGACCAGGTGGGGGTTGATTAATAGTTCCTAAAAATGGAATCCTTCAGTCGAACTTCAAGGAAGATAAATGCATTGCTTTGATCAGCTTAGTCAAAACGACTGCAACACCGCAGCTAGTGTGCGTCCATAACGGACAAATTAAAAACGGGTCTAACAAGGCCGTTGCTGTCGAGTTGTGCTGGATATCTGAGAAAGCATAAATTTGGACAAACGCGTATGGAATACAGTTTTGATGCACAGAGTCGTTGACTGTGAGACCAAATCACGTCCGTCAACATCAAAATCATTTGCTGTATCTGCTTCCGGGCTTTTTAAACACAGAGACTAAAGTGAGGAATACATTATGATACCGACGAAGAATGTTTCCGTAAACACGACCGGTGATCAAAACGGAAACAGGAACTGTGCGTCCGTTAACACGTCCACTCACCGAAATAATGTTCTGCAGCAACCGTTTTGCGTCGCGCAAAGCCTTGTGATTTGGTGACAGCTTGTTTGTTTAGTACAGACAAATCCAGTACTTCCGATTTGTAAATACATGCACCAGCCAAACCTCTTTCGTAGGAACCTTTGTTAATCACCATGGCATCTTCCATGTCATAACCCTATGGAACGAAATAAAGACGTGAATTTGACAGTATTTCAAATAAAGCATTGGTGAAGCTGACGTTCTGATCACTTTTTGTATAGAAATTCTTGTTAGCGAAACCAGACGAAACAGTAATGGAGGAGTGATGGGAAATACCTCATTCGGGCTACAACACTTTCCAACTGGCACAATGATTCTCCTTGTGAGGAAACATCTCCGAGAAGAGCAAAAAGCCCCCTTGAAGAGGTTCCTGCATGAGCGAGAGTGGTGCATCACGACAGCAAAGCCTCAAAAACATAAACTCTTAGTTAAACCATAGCACTGTCCAATGTGGGTAAACACGACTGGAAAATGTGAGATGGTTCGCTTCTAAAAATTGGGACCTACCGTGTAGGACATCACAGCTACAATGGCGTTGAAGCCCAGAGGATAATGATCGATATCGTATTTCACGTAAGTCTTCGTCCGCACTAAGGGGCTCTGAGGAGTTAGGAGGCGGTAGGCTTTCACATCCGATCGATGGCGCCACGTGTAACACGAGTGTCCCATTGTTTGTTTAGCCATTTGGCATTGGTACATATTTCGGGGTGACTGAATACGAGAACGAAGATATGATCAAGTAATCAAACGGCGAACTATGAGCGGATAAGGGGACATTGAAGTAAACGCGGGAATTTCTGATAGAGGCTGGGCAGTGGCGAACTACATATTACACTGGAAGGTCTAAAGTGTCCTCAGAACATATTGGCATCATCTAGTGGAAGCAACAGACACACAGTTCACATGACGTGATCCGGATGTTGACGTTATATTCTGTTTAAGTGCAAGTTAACCACATTGCTTTCCAGTCAGTTGAATGGCATAGCATTCAGCTATAAACAGAGACTGCTATTTTCCGTCCCCTCTGGAGATCCGACAGTTGAGCACTCGTGCTGATCGTCAAGGTAAAAAAAAAACATTTGTACCGTGCTCCTCGGCTCTTTGACAGGCTGATTACAACTAAAACATGAAATCTCACGCTGTGATGGGGTTTTCCACAGCAGTAGGTACAGCGGAACCTCGCCCTCCCCCTACATAAAAGTGTCTTCGAAGTGCGGAAGCCCCTATTAAAAAGGTCCCAATTCTTCTCGGCTTTACGAAGAACACTGCCTGGTAACTAGTAGCTGAAATGCGAAAAAGACAATGGGACATTTCAATGATTTTCTAGGCATTCTGTGAATACGACGGGGTTTATGACGCGAATTTAATCGAGTCTGTGTAGGTTTAAAAATGAATTATTCGCTGAACAAACCGCCTTTTATGGGAAAAGGATAGTGAAGCCTGTAAGCAGGTTTATCAAAACAACGATCTGTTGGAATTTTGTTCAGGTCTAATCATGCTGCGAACCTCAAATGGTTCGCAAGTGCAGCACCGTATTTGACGAACCAGGAAGCCAGGGTTTACCAAGTTGGGCTTACTGTGGAGGGGTAGTGAGATACATGCGAAAGGTTCGAAAGATTGAGGAAGAGATGATGTTGGTAACGAAGGTCCGAGGCGGGGTGGAACAAAAATGTAGTAGGCAGGTTGCCGGTTTTGTTGCCCAGGAAGACAAAATTACTTGAAAAAATGAAAAACAGATGATGTGCCGAACTGGAAGACTGTAAACTATCGGAGAGTTTGAATGAAGATCCGAGACTAGCATTTCTGATGTTAGTACGCAAATCAAATGCATCTATTATCCTCCGTTTTCACAAGACAAACGCTCGTTGTACTCACCAAGAAAGTGAGTTCAGTCAGCTACTACCGTTCTTTGAAATTCAAAGTGGATAATCAAAAGGCAAACATGACCTCAGCAATGAGGCCGATGGGTTTCAAACGATGCTTTGTCATTCTGAGCTGTGCGCTTAACACAAACCGACGGAAATATTTATGGCTGACAGACCAATATTTGTGTTCCACGCTATATATATATATATCAGCCCACGTGGTTGTTGGAATGTTGTTGTACGCAACTCACTGAACGTTCTCAACTGTCAAGCTACTCACCATCTTGCAAGTAGCACACTTCAACAAGCATTCGCCATCAGATGCAGGTGTTTTGCGGGTACAGTTGACCTCACTATCAAAGAGGCTGATCCCGATTATGTTTTCTGCTTGAGGGACCGTTGCAGTTGAATACATAGATGCCAAGCCAAAAGCATTTGAAATGTGTGTTATCCTTGCCCAATAACGCCCAAAAGCGATAGTGTAACCGTAGATGCAACGCTCCCAATATTACACTCAGAAGATTTCGGGGTAGTTGTAAATTCCCGCTTCCTTCATTCATGTTTTGAAAGTTGTCCCCAGAACAGCTCCTCTAACTCTAGCATTGTTTCACATTTAACAACTGCTCCGAATTTCCGAAAGAAGTGGAAGGAGCGAGTCTTCCAATTTCATTTTGTTCATCAAGTAACGGTAATTATGGCCGAAATCATTTTATATTTCCATAGGCCGAGAACCGCATTACTCTTTCAGATGCCACTGAATCGAGTCTATTATCAAATCCATTAGAATTACAATTGAGTTGTTCATATTGGAGTTGCGAAAGGCGGCTCCGTATTGTGATGGGCGTTAATCTCACGAATACATAGCTTAAAGTGGAGCGGAAATGTACTGAAGTGAAGATGAATGAATGGACCAGCTTCAGAAAGTTTGAAAAAAAACGTGAAAAGGGTTTATGTTACCAGAGAGAGAGAGAGAGAGAGAGAGAGAGAGAGAGAAACCGAAAGGATCGGTTTTAAAATGAAGCAATATCCTAATCATTTCTGCCCAGTAGACGTCGTAAATCAAAACATTTCAGTAAACTTTACTCAGATCATATCTTATTCTCTCTACACACCCAAGTTCATTTCGATTATAGGCGTATTCTTACAAAACCGGAGATGTTCCCTAAATATGATGGTGCATCCGCAGCATTCGGTGTAGATTATAGTGCTTTTCGAGGTTATCGACAAATAAGCGGATTCGGTCAAGTATCGGTTTCTTTGAAAGTTGCCCTTGATGCTGTATCCTCCCCACAGCCGTTTTAGAAAGCCTAATACTTTGGAGAAAATCGGTACCACCTACTCCCGATGAAGAAACAGTTTCAACTATGATACAAATTTGCGGCAAGCAGTACACAACCCCGTAGGCCGTAGTTCGCAAACCTTTGCATCAGATGAATCGTGAGCGTAAGTATTAACATTACTATACTTCTCTGGAACGACATCAGGAGATATTTTATAACGGGAGGCACATCGGTCTGCAAGGTAAACTCAGCTGAAAAGGAAAGGAAACCCGTAACTACTAAAACCATAGTAACTCGATCCAAGTTGGTGGGCATGTATTGACCTCTGGGAACTTAGTAACTAGTAAATGAACGGTCAGGAAACTTGCAGACTGATAGCGTCTGGATGATCCTAGGAACGAACAATAAGATCCATAAACAGCATGGGATTATCAACAAACAAAGTTGAAGACAGTGCTGGCAAACCTGTCGGTGGGTATTTGAGATAAAAGCATCATAAAAGTCATCGACAAATGCTACTAACTTGGTTGAAATCCTGATAAGGTGTCAAGCCTGCAACAAAGCTGAATATCCCATCCGGTGTGAGTTCCATATGTGACCGGACAGTCTCAGATCGCTCCTGCAATTCTTCTTCAGTGACAGCAATATCTAGATAGGGCTGTTCGAAGGTACCGATCCACTCAACAAGGCCACCCCCTTCAGGCTGGTTTCCATGGCGAACATTTTTTACCGGTCTCAGCAGACGGGAACCACCCGTAAATAGAAATAGCCCAGGGTACTGGGACCCAACATCTGTGGGAGGCACTAGTGCGATTTCCAGAGAATATGGAACATGTTTTGATTGAGTATCAAGTTTGAGATCACGAAGCTCATCTGCTAACTGTTCAGCCTCTATCAGTGATGACAACCAACCAACGAGACGACCGTCCAAAAGAACAGGTAGGGCGTTCTGGGCTTCCGTAACTCCGGAAAGCTGTCGAGATAACTCAACAGAACGAAGTTTGTTCGATGTCAGCCATGCAGCCAGCGCGTCATTGGTCGAGTGTTTCGGTGTTTCACATACGGCCTGTAAAATTGAATTTTTTAGGGCACATCCAAAATAACTTCAAACAAATTGCCTGGAACACAGTGTGCTGTGATAATGACAAAATTTCACCATCCGGTGCACTGGAGAAGTTGGAGTATCTATTAAAAAAGCACTTCGTTAACGCCGAGACTCTGCTAAACGGATACCCAAACACACACTGCTTCGATGAAGCATGCAATAGGCTTCCGAAAACGGTTGTCCTCATTTGAGGGGAACGCTTGAAATAATCGATGAAATTGGTTCCTGAGTGTAGATAATTGAGGATATTTCACAGGACGCTGAAAAAGCACTCCGTAAAAAAGTTAAACGTTGCTCTATGTACCACGTCTTTTACTTCCTTACCCTCTCTCCTTGGACATTTTGAGGTTGATGCTGATCTGAAATGTAAGATCTACAAACGTAATGCCTCCTTCCAGTAAAAAATACCATCATGTACCCACGCATTGGATCCAAGTGAAAATAGACATCTGCAGACCACAAATAGACTATATTAACAGCGGTATGTGGTGGTGAAATGCCACAGAAAACACTGGCTGGTGTGTGCGTTTTTGCTGAATGTACCAATGATTCATTCAAACTCAAAGGTGCTCATGCATTCTAACCAGGATTACATTATGTGAATTACAACTGGATGGGATATAACGGAAGTGCAGGCAGCCGGTGAATCAAGAACCATTTTATACATACACCACAAATAAGGGTCTACAGGGACAAGGACATCAAACGAACATTGTCTACCGAACAAGAAAACGATGCCCTTACAGAGGTGGCTTCAATAGGGTTTAAAAAATTCAGTAGATCCAGCAAAGACGGTCTTCTCAGAGGGAGACAACTGCGTTGTACGCCATTATGTAACCTGAATCACGACTGGCGTGGCAGGATGGAAGTCAATAAATTCGCTACCGAAGAAAACTAGCTGCCAGGTAGGGTAGCCAGTTCCGATCGACCGAAAAATTTGTCACCGAGAAAGGAGGAAAGTCCTTCGCTGCGAAGTGATTCCATAATTTCCGTAGTAACCTTAAACTTTCGTCCACTTTTCTAACCAAGCTTATGGGTGCCAGACGAATCACAGCAGGTTTACAAACAACCTTCCATTTAGATGATTTAACGTTACTTTTTCTGACGGATAATTGCGTACATGGACATGGCGCGCTTTGGACATCCCGTAGATAGCAAAGGTGATTCAACAAGGCACACAAGCACATCTGATCCCACATTGCTTTATATCGGGGGGAGGGGGAATTCAGGATTCCAGTGCAGTAGAATCTTCAGCTGGTTAGCGTGGGAAGAGTTAGGTGGACCACGGGGTCATTATTCGCCCGCTCGAGTGCGTGCGACCAAGTAGTCAGCATTCCATCACGGCCTTGGATTTGTTGCTGAAGGTATAGACCATTCTGTTCGATGCAAAACAGCCTTACACGGGCATGCAGTACACACTCCTCAATCATACGTCTCAAATGCAAGAAAAAATACGCCAATTCCAATGATTATGGCTGGAAGCCACAACAGTTCTTTACGGATGGATTGAATCATCTTAAATGACACATCTTAAGAGAAATACTGGGCAAGATCTGCAAAACGAAAGGACGCCTCAATGGCAAGCCACGACTTTAACTGAATGCCAGCCGCTTCACATATTATGGATTTTCAGACATCTCAGTTGCCTCGATTGGCAACTAAAAGTAGTCAGAATAAAAACACAGAAAACTTGAACCTTTGCGATACAGGAAATTTTCCCACGGTAAGAATCAAAATGTAACGATGCGGTCGACACATCAGATGAAGTCACGTAAATGATCTAATGAGGCAACTCGAGGAGGCGAAACCTCCCCAAAATGTCCAACTGCTAAGCTTGTATTGAAGAAAAGAAACGTACTTCTACGGGTTCCGCTAGGTGATTTAACAGCCCACAAGGTGCCCCATCTGGCGTGTGTACGGGGCAGATGAATCCCCAAGCTTCAGGCAGCAGGCGGCGAACACTAGTAGTCCGAATATCAGTAAACATTGCACCACGATGCACTGCCCTGAACTGGGCGGCAAGGCGAAGAAAATTCACATTGTCGGCCGGTACACTGAGACCTGAGGCTTGGCCACCAAACTGTGCGGCCAAGTCGGAACGGAGAGTTGGTGGGAGATTCCCAGTGCAAAGCAAATAGGTCATAGCACTGCCGATTTCCGGGGCTCGGGATAGCAGCGACTGTTGTAAGAGAGCTGGGTAGGTAAACGAGGAGATAAGGAGCAAAGGCAGGCTTTTTTCTAACATTCAATGGAAAACAGCATCCTCAAACTCGATATGAATAAACATCCCGACCGAACAGATTAGCTGAGATATTCATATTTGGTCTGTATGAAATGCCATTACGATGAAAATCGCAGACTGGCTTCGCCAGACCGTATATCGAATCACCCCATCTAAGCTCACTGCTGTTCGACTTTACTCAGTGGTAAGTCCTTTGGAATCATCAATTATTGCAATGAAATGACACCTGATCGACCGATCATGAACCCGAGTGGCAAATGGATTAACGCGATAACATCGAAAAACCTCATACACGCAAGTGTAAGACAAACACAATAAACCCACATGTACAGTGATATCGTAAAATACGGATGAGGAAGAGTAATCCCGTAAGAGACATCCGGAGAGTGCGCGACCTCACGGAACTAGGTAATATACCAAAATGGTCTCCCATACGTGTGCACCTATCTCCCAACTTTACCGGGGAATCGTTTAGATAGTACAGTCGAAGAAAACGAGGACGTGATTTATAAAACATTTGTATCGCGGAGTTCGTTTCTACTGCCACAGCAAGGTCCCAAAAGTAAACTGTATGAATGATGGGACATTTACGACAAAGGGTTCAAACCGACATGAGTGCGAGCCTAACAACATCTCCGATCTTAGGTGTAACATGAACTAAGGATCGGTATGCTTAACGGTTTTTGTGTGTACACTTACTGGAGTTAATTTTGACTTTATTCTTCCGAGATCGAGCCAAAATGTGGTCTTTCGTATTGTCAAGGAGCTGACGGATTTTTTCCTAGAATGAAAAGAAACGGGAAAGAATGAAAAACCCGTGAACACCAAACAGCGGCGCAGTTAAATACGTCTCACCATAGAGAAACCATCTACCAAGAGATCACCTACTAGGTGTCTTGAAATGGTCCTACAAAGAGGGAGAACTGCTACAGATTAAGCGTGGTCAGAGAGAACGCAGCCGACAGGAAGGGCTAAAATGAATCAATGCTATCACATAATTCTGGGACAGTTATTCCGTTCTGGTCAAGACTCATACAATAGCAGCGATTGCCAAATAAAACTGATTAAAAACTCGCATACAACAGAAATCAGTTTATTCCAAGATACTCCCATTTTTATCTCTCGTTCGGTTCAGTTCAGCCTACCAGCTATAAAACATCTGTCAAGGGTACGTTGGTTCCGAATGGTAGATTTCTGTCACCGGAGAGTGGGAGTATGGAGGACGTATCCAAGCATCAGAGTCGAAGATATAACCGATTGGATCATACTGAAGGAACAGAAAACTGGCCAACTAAGTACTGAGGGCGATGGCTTTCATGGAGGAGCTCCACTGACTGTCGATCGGGCTCCATTCAGAGAGTCCGCTGTTGTCGACCCAACTGAGTACACTGCCGAATGCTTTTATATTTAGCTCTCAGGTCACAGAATGTCCGATCGTTTCCAATGAGAACAGAGCTGGGCATAAGGAACTTTTTGAGGAGTTTTGACATGTATTAACGTGAAGCAAGTTACTGATCCAAATATTTCAATTTTCTGTCTCTTGCGACAATCTCAACTCAGCGCGGATCGGCTGGCTGGTTAACCTAGGGGCGAGATAGTTCAGGGGTTAGAGCACGAATTTAATAACCGGAAGGTGTGGTTCGAACCTGACCTCCGCATTTCCTCTCAAGGCTTGGGTAACCTGGAAGTATCCCAACCTTCGTGCTTCCCTCGGGTGGTACGGCACCTAGGCACAGGAAGGGTGTTACAGCTGGACGATTTATTTTTTTTTTATTTTTTCAGTCAATGACCGCCAACAATGCCGTGAACTCCACGTCACCATCTAACAACCATACTCCTTCGTCCTGACGAGATCAAATTAACTACTGTCAAAACACCCTGAGCCTGAAGAGCACCGGACTAATTCAACACTCCCTGTCAATAGATTCGCATACCGCGGAGAACGAGTGCAGTTCACATACATTATATGCTCAGCTATTTGCCCGTTCGTCGAGCTTTGCAACCGATTTTCAAAGGCTTCAACGCCATTTGAGAGAGAATCGACGGTGCGCTATTAGGTGGATGTTACCTCTCGTGCTTGCGTTTACATTGTTTAGTTGAGAGTAGCGTATCTCTGATGTGATTAGTTGAGGGCGGCCCCGTTCGGTCCGTTGTAAATTTCTACTGCACGCGTTATAGTTTGGTTCGTAGAATGCCATCGTTTTCAGCACCGTCTACTTTTTATTGGCCCCTCCGAAGTCCGCAGAGATACTCTGATGTGAATGGTAGTTTGCTTTTTCCACATTTTACGGAATACAATGAACGTGAAAAATACTGTGTTAGACAACCGGTTTTCCTCAAATGATAAACAACTGAAGGAATTTAGCAGGATCGTCATTCGTTGAAGTGGATGTGGCGTTGATTCATGTGATGTGCAGCATGTTTCCGGATAGACCGACAAGCAATATTCGGGTTTTGTCGTTGCGTTGCGTGTTCCCGGTTTTACACAGAAACATAAGTTTTGGATAATTCTTGAAAATTAGCACACGCCAATTTCTGCTTGTTTAGGTCATCCACAGTTTCTACAAATTTACTTTGTGAGACATCTATGTCAGCACATAGCTAAGTTCAATGTTTGGAATCCACTTCGTCTCAACCGATGCATGGTGCTTGACAATGACTGGGAGCTACTGCGTCTGCAGACTACACTGACTTCAGGGAGATGTACAACCTGAGGATTCTCGAAAAAAAAGCTATTAGTAATGAAACCTTTCTACCGCAGCACAACTTGGATGACCAGTATTTGATTCAATCGGCAAGTGGACGTTGTTTCTTGACCTAGTCTGACTGGGTGAAAATCAGTAAAATTCACGTTTCATTTTGGGAGAGGAGTAAGCTCAATTGTATATGTGAAACTGGAAGATGTGGTCGTGAAACTCCTGTGGTAAACAGAAACAAGTGATTTTGGGTTGTGCTTCTACACGGAGCTTCTCTCGCTTCGAAGTTCGATTCAGGGATGTCATTACCAGCACTGCGCTGTAGTAAATACTGGCACTGAGTTGCCAAACAACCACGATGAAGGAGACACCACAGTACAAACGGAAGGAAAGGGAAGGTGTGAACAGAGTGACACAGGTTAAATTCTCACGGAAAACGGTCAAGAATGGTAATTAAACAGACAAATGAACATCATGTCGCAGTAAGGTACTATTAGCTGGATAACCCAAGCATGTTTTGCGAACATAACTCAACACCCATCCGGTGGTTGTAGCTAGAGAGCTTGGCTAGGAAAGGACAGCATGCTCGATGATGAGAACAATTACGTGCTGTGGGGTCTTCAACAGCGTGCCCCAGCTAGGAAGACGCGAACATTCCACAGTACCTAGTCTGACTGTAGTCGCTTTACTTTCGTGTTGCAATGTTATGCCTCGTCCCCGCAGCAAGGGCTTCGAATTGGAAAGAGCACTTTTTCGGTAGCCGGTGGTTCGGCAAGTAGACAATAACTAAACTTGTTTATTTCAAGCGGTTTTTTGGACAAGCTACAATCATTGTAATGGCATCAGCCGTCACAAATCACGATAGTAGAAATGTTGATCAATCGGTTCCTTCGGGTGACTATGTGCTAGTAACTGCATAGATTAGTGTGTACCGAGGTTGCTGAAAAGCTCAATTTCAACTTGGTGCATGATTTGAATTAGAATCCTTTACAATTAGTGTGAAAATGGTACTAAAAATGTCAGGACTGGCAACGAACCCAGTGCACGTCCACCGCCTGAACAACCACGGTATCAGAGCTACAAAAATTTACATCCTCAATCAACATGAGAGCAACCTCTTAAGAAGATAACTCTGTGGTGCGACCATGGCTTCAAGTCTCACTTTCATTAACTTGAACCCTTCACAGAGAAGCATGTTGGACAAGAACAAATAAAATTTGTCTCACAAATATGCACATACCCGTAATACTTGTACATATAAAGTCGATGGTAGCAGTACTTCCTGAAACATAAGGTTGTCATTGGTCTCTTCGCAACATTGCCCTGAGACAAATGCATGTAATTTTCGTACCATGAAGCTGAAGAGACGAAAGAACAGTTGCACAAGTTATGAGAAGCCAGAAGTTGAGAAATGTATCGATACACAGCGCTAAAGAGAAAAGACTCACCATAGGAGATGGTATTTGTCAACGAAGGAGTCCAGGTGGATGGCAATATACCGGCTACAAAAATAATAATAAGACCCATTGCAATGTGGGCGCAGAAAAGTATTAAAAAACAAGACAAAAAGGGTAAGTTTGTGAAGACCTGTAAAGGCGGACAGATGACTAAACCGCCAGAAATCTTACCGTAAGCTTACACATATTATCGACTTATTCCCCTCAGTGACACGTTTTTAGGGAGCCATGAGTATTACTCATATAGGGTCAAGTATTGCTGTGTGGGTGATTATCCCTTACCTCTTACAAAATGTGCCATCAGTATATGAGTACAAAACCATATAGGTGCATATTGCGTGTTTAACGCAGCAGACGTCAGCGGCCCGAAATATCGACCAAAACTGCTGTGCGGAGAAATTTTTCAAAGAGAAGCACACTAGATAAAATTAAACTGCACAGCAATTTTAACTTATACGTGCATAGATATATTGATGAAGCACGAGGTGAGATGCCCCCAGATGTTCCAAAGCTAAACAAGGGCAGTCGGAAAACAGGGGACCGATTTAATCGAAGTAATCGCCAGTCGGAAGATTAAGCAACTTCTGATGAGCTACGCCGACCTAGCATAACTACGATGTTATCCTAATTAGCTATCTGGGAACCCTCATACGTACACATTCGACAAACAAAGCTGACCCACAATGCCGGTAGGAAATAAAATTTAGATAGATTTTAGATGCCCGCTCACCGGATAAGGGAAATGCCAGCATCTTCATCTGTCGCGTTGGTCGGGAGACGCATTCGGCCACGAAACAACCGACCCAAGTAGCTCAACGCTCGTGTCTGAGAGCTGTAATCCTCGTCCTTCAGGTGAACCAATATACGCATAGCCGTTCTGAAAAGTGGTATATTCACAGACATTTAAAGCCCTACTTGCATATCATAACAGTATTACACGTGAGACCAATGGAGCGGTTAGGTGCGATAACAATGAGCATTGAGCAAAGTAAACGGAAATGGCCATTCATAACTAAATCAGAGTATACAATGACTAGATATTCACGACAATCCTATGTGTAACCACTGTATGGTGAACTGCCTTAGTAACCTTTCTTCAGAACCCTGGTATAACAAGCGGAAACCACTGAACCGATAGGGGATCGATCATAATCAAAAATTTTCCGATGATATGCTGTTCTCCAGTTCACTATAACCATCAGTGGAAGCATGTGTACCTGTGAATCGCGTCACGAACAATCTGAACAGTCAGTGTAAGAATTCTGTTTAGTTCGACGATTGTACGCTCCGTGGCCGGCAGTACTTAACTGCAAAATCCCTGCATAAAGTTACAGTAAATCACCCTCGTTGACGGTAGCGACAGCATGCCAATGTCATAGTGCACACGAGCATGTCTCTCTCTGTAGGTAACATTTAGGCTCATCGTACCAACAGTGCAAGGTTGCTGTTATGATTCGCAGTACATCGGTCAGTGAGAATTTCATGATGGAAATTCGGTTCCAGACGTACGTGCAGACATAATCAGGCTGTTGAAGTGAAAAGGTGACATGCCTACCAAATAGGGATTGGAGAACCAGACAAATCTGGCTATAAACCTATTATCGAATCTTCATAGTTCAGAAGAGCATGGTTCAGCCTCTGCTGAAATAAATGACAGTGATAGCAAATACGAAAACAAGTCATTTCGTCTAGAAATATGACTTGGTTTGAACCACTGCTATGGAGCAGCACGGACAGAATCACACCAAGTGATGGAACAGGAAGCGGATGGCACGGTACTACGACCCCACTGCTCATCGTGATTCATGGGTAGCAGTGATGCGGGATATTATCGGATCTGATTCATTTATTTGCAGAAAAGTCGCCGCAAAGTAAAAGCAGGAATAGACAAACCTCAAGTACCTGTTTGGTTACAAGCCTATACCTGACTAGCAGCTGCTCAGTCGCTACTTAAGAAACTGTTAAGGAAACCGTTCAAAATAATTTTCTCTTCTTAATGGTTGTTACAAACTAATCCATAGAACATGGTTATAATCTAACCGGTCTCTCAACAAGGACGTATTTGTTGCAGGTAGTTGCAGCACTTGAAGAATTAACATCTATATCAATCTTACTTGCACAGCCCTCCCTTAGTCTCGAACCAATTATTCCCGTGAGTCCACATAAAGATAGGGGAGCACAGGACTCGAGTTTCGCTCTTATTAAAGCTCATCTACATGTCTTCAGTCATGTCGGGATCTGAAGCGGGGGTGTTCCCACCATTCCACCAGCGCATGCTGGGCACATCTGAATTATCGCCTCTGAACGGGATTACGTGTTCACGCTTGAGCGATGTGATCGGTTTACTCGGGTTTGGTAAACAAACCCTTGTGACTTTTCGATCGGTTCTACACTTTTCAAAATTTGCGTATTTGTCTCCTTTTACAGAGTTCAAAACCACAAAAAATGAAAAAAGGGTATCTATATGACATGCTTTTTCAAAGTGCATCCGTTTTCTTCTGAGGCCACCGGAAGGAACCGTTCGAAAGTGAACGAAACTAATGTACAGAGCGACCGAAATAATGTGAGAAGACAAAATTTGATATTACCTGGCGATATATACCTCCTAGTTTGAAACTCTGTCGGATACAGGATCTACAAGCTCCGAGTTGTTCCTAAATGTCAGAGTTCAACCACCAATTCGGTTGATGGAGACAAACAACTGAGTCTAAGTCAGTAAGCCACAAACGTCGTTAACGGACCATGGTAATGGGGTATGACAGTGGACAATCGAAAAAAGCAGGTTGACATGACCGATTTCTGTACACAGCATCACAGAATCATATATACATCACGACTTAGAAGATTTTAGTCCCATCGAATCCATGAACCCCAAGATATAGAATCAACATGGAGATCAGAGGAAATCCATTGCTGCAGCATTAATCAGGTGGCAGTCGCTCCGCTAGCCGAGCTCGGCAACTGGGTGAGTACCCGACCGCGTAGTGACTACGTCTCCTCCTGTGGTGCAAGCTTGCCGAAGAGGCTAACTGCCATCTGATCAATAGCCCACAAATTATCAATACCTGAACATAGCACTTATCACAATTTCACTCACATATAAGAAGCCATGCAAGCAAAGCAAATAATGCAACCATAACAACACATTTTCATTTATGGTACACAATTAGCCTTGTCTGGACCTATGATGGGCTCCTCAACAGGTAAGATAAGTGAAACTGATTGCTTTTATCTCTTCTCAGGGGAACCTGGAACAAATTATAATTCGGAGGGTGGTACGTGGTGCGAACAAAGAATGGCCTTCATGGAAACCTAATGACAACAAACTAAATATGCAATAATAATAATAATAATAATAATAATAATAATAATAATAATAATAATAATAATAATAATAATAATAATAATAATAATAATAATAATAATAATAATAATAATAATAATAATAATAATAATAATAATAATAATAATAATAATAATAATAATAATAATAATAATAATAATAATAATAATAATAATAATAATAATAATAATAATAATAATAATAATAATAATAATAATAATAATAATAATAATAATAATAATAATAATAATAATAATAATAATAATAATAATAATAATAATAATAATAATAATAATAATAATAATAATAATAATAATAATAATAATAATAATAATAATAATAATAATAATAATAATAATAATAATAATAATAATAATAATAATAATAATAATAATAATAATAATAATAATAATAATAATAATAATAATAATAATAATAATAATAATAATAATAATAATAATAATAATAATAATAATAATAATAATAATAATAATAATAATAATAATAATAATAATAATAATAATAATAATAATAATAATAATAATAATCGTTCAGCAATAATACCATTTCGGTGCCTAGCTACCGTGAGGAAGGCACGAGGGATCAGAAACTACCAGCTTGCTCAAGCCTACACTGAAGCAGTCGAGAAGCAGAGGCTAGGTTCAAACCACGAACCTTCTGGTCAGTAAGTTCGCGCCTCAATCACTGAACTATCTCAAGCTAACCTGGAAAACTAAATTGTAGGTAAAACAGGTCGAACAGAAACGCTCTTCTCTACAGAGCTCTCTCTACTGGGTGTTTTTCTGAATCTGAGGAGTCTAAAGTGGAGCATCTGGCCTGCCTGCAACGCAGCTACGGACGATAACCTGAGGGGGCTCGGCTAATCCAATTTGTACTGATTACTAGATGTACATCAACGACAACAGTGTCAGGCGAAATGAAATGAAGTGAGGGGGTGATTGTAAGGGACGGCAGGCCTCGTGTTTTCATGTTCAAGTGTTAAACCTCCTCATTGGACACTGAATGTTGGATGTCAAAGTAGAGACCATACTAGAATTCGGTATAATTACCAATATGGTAATGGAATGGGGGGAGAGATAGCTCAGTAGTTGGAGCGCGAATTTACTGATCGGAAGGTCCGTGGTTCGAACCCAACCAGTGCCTCTCGATCTTCCCTGTCCAGGCTAATGCGACTTGGCAATTTCCGAGCCCACGTGCTTCCTTCGCATGACACGGCAGCTAGGCACCAAAAGGGTATTCGAGCTGACAGATTATTTCTTTTTTTATTTGATGGTAATGGAATTCGTCCGCGATCGTTGCTCTCTGACGGTTGATATTTTATCAGAGACCGATTTGACTTTCATCCTTTTATGGCACGTTGAGCTAAAGTACAAATGACAAGAGAGCAAGCTGAACATTGTGGTAGACAGTTTTGAAGACCAGAGGGGTTCGACGGAGATGCCGTCATTATCTGCTTAACAAACGTACAGTAGAGAAAATATTTGTGACAGTCTAGAGGAAAATAAGCAGGCCACCGAGAAACGCAGATAAAATGGGGAGCAGCAGTAAAGTAACACGCATTGGACACAGGACAAAAAGTATATTTAGAAAATGTTGACATTTTGAAGTAGGGACTACGGTTCATGAAACAGACCTATGGCCGAGGGTGTGTAAACAGGATGGAGGCGTAGAACTGGTAAACGTGTGGAGAACGGTTTTAGATCGGTGGAGCTGACCCCTAGTGGTGTGAAGTTATCAGAAAGAGGAGTCATCAACAGAAGTAGCTTAGATTTGAAGTTCGTGAACCGAACCGATAAAAAATTCCACTTAATATCACACCCACCTCAACTAGTGTCATCACACTCACAAACCCACACAGACCAACTAAATTTACCAGTGGAACCCAAGGTGGACCACCAATTGACGTCCATTGAACAGGAAGATCAAAGACCAAAACCAGATAAGAATGATTTGAAATCCCCGCAATCCATGAAACCTAAGACTTAAGCAACCACATTAACCGACAACATATTTCAACTGACATCAAACACTGGTCGAGTGTGCTAATCCGAAGAGGTCTTGCTGATAGGTTCTTTGTCTGCTTTAAAACTCAGCCGGTTTGGCAACCCACTAACTTGGTTTGACGAAGCTTTTGTCAAAAGCGAAACGCTGCCCAGTTACAAAACAACCAATTATTTCCCAAGCCCTTCTGAGCGATGAATCCCCAGTCGGCTTAAAACTTATTCCAAATGATTGAATACTTAGCAGTCTACTTGCAGAACACAGACGCTTGAAAAGGGAATACATCAAAATCCATACAATCTATTGCGCTCAAACGAAGAGGAGACCAGCTTACTCTTCCAATGAAAGTGATTCGCCACTTCCTCGGCGGATATCGTCAAACATCTCGAACTCTGTTTTGTTCACCATAGCCTGGAAAAACACAATAAAGACCCGACTTTGGAAGACAAACTTGGCACAGGTCATCGGTGAGGGAAGCAACTAATGAGCCAAAAGTATATTTGGTATTTTTTAAAGGTGCCTCAGAATCAAAGTGAATTCAATGTGAAATTCAATGTGAAATGTTCAACTAGGCATCAAAACCGAGTGTCATTATGCTGTCTACGTGGAAGGCCAGAGTTGTGGAGACCAATCGGTTGTTCCACCCCAGAACACACTGTTTATTCGAAAAGACACATTCCTCCCAATGACGAACATGAAGCCTATTTTTGATTTTGCAGTTCAACAGGCACCACATTGTTCGTTGAAAAAGCTCTTGTTAAACTTGAAAATGCTAAACAAAAGGTCTACGAGAACTTATCAACAACCCACAACGGGTTTCGTCCTCTTGAAACTCTTCAGGTAGGCAGTGTTGGCGCGGAATTTCCACCAATCTTAACTGAACACCACAGCAGACGTTTGGAAGCTGAGGTAGTGTTACTGGGACATGTGGTATTGAAGAGAAACGCTGTGGCATCTTAAATATCGGTCCACACGAACCCTAAGGGAGCCTGTGCTATCGGTTTAGGAAAGGCACAATGGATCCATCTGACTCCCACGCCAACATCATCCTAGTAAGCAAATCAGTGTTTAACGTCACAAACGATTCTCCTTTCTGAGGAGGCTTTCGGTTCAAAAAGGGCGTTGTTTCGTGTTCTTCTGGTCCACGTTTATAGCTGACGAGCCCATTATTAGCCTCATTTGGACAGAAAGCCCTTAGAAGGCATACTTACCTACTCAAAAAGCGTAGCCACTGTAACGGAATGTAACCTATTTTAAATGACGTAAACAGCCATTCTTATCTGCACAACTGTTGTAGTATAGTTCCAAGACTGAGTGGGGTCGTGGTCGAACTTCAAGCCTACACATTAGTTCACCTGACCAGCCACATCGGGCTTTGAGGCTGTTGGAAGATGCAATTATCCCTGACCTGAAAAGTCAGGATCACACTTTCAAACCCTTAAAAATTGTCCGGCATCAGTTCATCTAGCAAAAATGGAGTTTAGAGTCATACCTGCTGAATTTGCAAGCGTTTTTCATTGCGAGGAACGGGTAAATGTCAACTGTTCATCCGCCATGCCGTGAAGCTAGAGTGCGCAGTCAAGCTATATGAAGCTTTAGATCTCAAGGGGACGTAAGTAGGAAGGCTTCATCACTCGTCTCTGTAGGATCGTCCGCAACGAATAGAAGGGGCCTTGGATCTAAACATACCATGAAATATACCCAGAAACCAAAACTAAAGATTCATATTTCCAAAACTTGCCACCAAGATGTATAAAAATCCTGGTGCTTCAAGGAAGTGAAACAAGCCAAAATCGAATATATAAACTCAAATGTCTGAGGCTTTCGACAAAACCCATGTGTAATTGATGAATCAGATTAACTTACTCGCAGCAGGATGGAGATGGGAACGAAGAATTGCTCTCTTTCAACTATGAATGCCAAAACCGGTTCGCCATTCATCAACCAGTGAAGCATCATGGTCTGGGGGTAGATAAATAAACAGCATTGACAAACAATACTTTTCACACCTTGGTAGTGACATGTCGTTGATGTTGATGGTCACCAAATTGATCGAGAGTGTAACACAGTAAGGGATCTTTCAAATTCACTTGGGGTGAGAGGACGTTTAATGATTGGACAGAATTTCAACTCACTAGTGCTGACTTTGCACAGCGTTACTGATACAACCGTATTGTATGGCACATGTGAAGGTAAGCTTATGGGAGCTTTAGATAGTGTTAGCTTTCTTGCTGGAATTCGTCACAGAGTGTGTGCTTTTTAAATATATTTTGTAGCCAAAATTGGTCCGTTGCTCAAAGAAAAAATAAAAAAGGCCCACGCAGGACTGCTCTGTTGAAAGGACTTTAAAAAATAGAGTAAACCATGTAGCAAAACTCAGATACGCCCAAACACTGTTGGTTGTAGATTACCGTGGTTCCTACGAGTTCTTGGAAGTTCAGACAGGACAGCTCTAGACATGGGACGCCAGGTGGTATCGAGGATCGCAACCACCATGTCCTTTTCAAAGATCATCCGTTCGCCTCGGACAAGTTGGCTGGATTAGTTGGAGTGGTGTGCTACTGTTTGCCGTCAAAAGCGTTTTCAACGTCTTTTGGCCTTCGCTATCCAGCGCAGATCTGCCAGTGCCTAGACTCACTATAGCCATTTGTCGGCGCTTTCTCTTGATATTACTGTGAGCCGCTGATCTGGACGACATCCAGTGTTGATTGGGTGCTACAGATCCCAAGGCAAATGGCTTCAGAGCATGTGGGCATGGTTTATTTCACCTTTTCCCAACCATGCCCTAAATCGCTATTATTTTGCCGTTCTAAACGGTCTTATACCAAATCAGCTCAATAGTCCCAGAATATAGGCACGCTTTGGCGACAGACCGAATGGTGTGCTCCCAAGAGGGAGCGAATAGATATGCATACCGGCATAATATCATAGTCAGGGCTAAGTTGTGTACTCGAGAGTCAACGAAATTCTTCAACTGAAGCTGCTCACTAAAGCTGCCATGTGATCCAAGTGAGTCAATGGTTAGTTTCAGCTATTTCAGCCAGCCGCGAACTGACGATGTCCCCTCCAGGCCACTTGCTATGCTCGGCGAACAGACCAGCTGCCACCTGATTAACAGCCAACTGCGGTTTTCGGGATCTACGCAGCCAAGAGAACAAAGGATGTTTACCGCAAGACTGAAGAAGTCGCTCGAGCTGTGTACATCAACACAGAATCGACCGCCAAGAAATGTTTCTTTAGAACCTGGTTGACTGTATTAACATCACCTGTTGAAAGCACAATATCTGCTCTATTTGCTAATCAAATCTCGATAGAAGCTGTCTTCTTTTCGAAGCTGCCTTCGTCAGGCGAATGTTCATATGACAAATGTTTTCGTATCAAGATGGGTTAAATTTGATCGAACCAATCTACAGAGATTACTAATTACTAAAATACAGCCCATAAAAGAGCATTCTACCCAGCTAACCGCGCCCAAACAGTGGCTCTCTGATAAGGCCGTCGTTTGCTAGAGACTAAGAGGTACATCGCTCCTGGTTACAACCACGAATCAAATCTAAACATCTGTCATCCACTGAAACTGAGTGTCCCCGTGAACCGGAAGCTTGGCGGATTCGAAAGGCCACAAAATTAGAAGCTGGGAAAATGCTGGAAACGTCCGCAGATTTTCCCATTTGAGATCAAGATAGCTCAGTTGTTAAGCCAAGAAGTTACTGACCAGGTTTGTGTTTCGAACCCAACTTCCATATCTCGGTTGCTCCTCTCTAGGCTTTGGTAACCTTACAGTATCTCGGTTCTCTTCTTCATTCGGGTAGCATAGCAGCTACGCAGGGTATCACAGTAGAACGAATATTATTACCACTACGTGTTCAATAGGTCCTCGGGCGCCTGGTATAGATGTGACTATCAAGAGCGAAACGGTACTTTGATATCCAGCAAAGAGGAACGTTTAGACTGTTAGGCACAGTACGGTGACTATCTGCCACCGTTTGATTCCCGAATTAACAAGGTGGCGATTCTTCGCTGTCTAACGACGGCACGCACATTCTGCACACGAGGGCATCAAGCGGGACTTCACTTTAACATCCCGCCTTGTCTTAGAACAACGCCACATGTACATGGATGAGACGTGGCCCCTGCGGACAGGCAATGTGAGGAGTTTCTGGTTTTTTGCCACCAATGTCTCAGAAACGTTGTTGGTTTTGGATGGCGTCAAATGTTTAGTAACCAGGTGATTAGAAAACGGGTATTTGGTTGTCAAGCTGGTACTTCAATCACGGAAAGCATCCAGCACCATCAACTACGGTGGCTCGGTCATGACAAAACAGTCTACTGAGACAAGTGTTGTTCTCTGCACCTTCTTCAGAATGGCGCAAACCGCAAGGTGGATAACGTATGACTTGGTAGAAGGGTGTGAAAGGGATTACGAAGGGGTCGAGTGGTGCTGGTGCTGTACGCCTCCCCTCCTGTGTTTGATTGCAGACATTCCAAGACAGTTGATCGACGTCAATGACATTTGTGATGTCAGTTTCTTTCCAAACTAACTGATTGAGCGCTTGGAGGTGTAGGCACCTCATAATGCTTGACAAAGTTTAGTACTAGGTCCCCTCCCTCACCCACTGTTTTTCTTCACTTTTCACTCTACAGCTTTATACATAAATGAAACGTATGGCTGTGGTGCATAGGAAGCACTGATGTGGCACTCGCTGATGTTTCTAACTGCACCAACCCAACAGGGAATTCTCAGGATTTGTGAACATAATTCAGTCTATATCGTTGCGTGGTTGCAAGTCACAAATTTTGCGGACAGATGTGAGGTGTTTTCATGTTTTTGAGAACAGATGTCTTAGAAGCGTTGACGGTGACAGATGGCGTAAACGAACTCGTAAAGAAGTCATCAGAAAACGAGTACTTGGGTGTGCAGCGCGGCGAGATGGCTCAAGTGGTTAGAGCGCGAATTTATTAACCGGAAGGTCTGTGGTTCGGACCCCATTCTCCTTCTGTCGACTTCCCTTGTGTAGGCTAGGACAACCCGACAGTATCCCATCCCTCGTGCTTCCTTCGGGTGGCATGGCAGCTAGACACCGGAAGGATGTTACAGCTGAACGATTTATTTTTCATTATTGCTTCAGTTACGGAAAACATTCAGCACCACCAACTGCAGTAGCACGGGCATGTACTACGTATGTCGAAAAATTCTCAACCGACATGCTGTTTTCTGTGCATCCTTCAGAATGATGGAAGCTGCAAGTTGGACAACGTATGGCCTCGCGGGAGGGTGAGAGAGCATGTGTTGTTGGTGCGGTCCTCCCTTCAGGACAGTCTCCGGAAGGCCCGTTACCTGAGCTTCACTGAGGACACTACAAGAAATGGTGTTGGTGATGTAAAATATGCTATCATAAACGTCCGAGGCCGTAAAGAGTTCCATGTTTACCGTCTAGGGTCCCACGTCAGCTGTAAGCTGAAGAGTAGCAGCTGGCCATTATGATTGTTACTGTCATTAATATATCTTTAACTTTTGCTGTGAATACCATGTATGGAGCCGGGGTGTAAAATGTCTAGATGGATTCAGCTCTTTCCTCTTAACAAGCCGACTGAACCACTGAGGATAACTCAACCTCAGTAGGGGAACATGGAAGCAGTAGAGTCCGATGGAGTCCCCAACAATACCCACGTGTGGATGCAGTTAACCATAGCATATTCGCTAGAAAGTTAAGGCGACCGCAAAAAACGCTACATCCAGTACTTACAGAAACGGCTTCATCTTCGCGCACGCATCGCATAATGATAGCGAATTCTGAGTATCCAGCTCCACGGCGTTTGAAGGATGGACGGGCAATGGCAAGCGGCTAATTGGGTTAGTGTCAAACCACTTGCTTACAAAGTTCCGTCTTGTCATGATTAGTAGTCGTAATACTCGTTCCTTCCCGTTCACAATGAAGTAACCACCAATCTCACGTTCCTCCTCCAAGTGTTTAGGAAATTCAGCACGGTTGAGCTTAGATAAATTACAAGCGCGTGAGAGCACCATTATGGGCACCTCACCACATGGGATCTCCAACACACTAGCCGCCGTGCCGTTGATGGACAGTCGCACGTTTAGACGCAATGTCGCGCCATATGTCGTCCCTTGTCTCGACACTTCCAGGAAAGTAAGCGACATACCTCATGAGGGTAAACAGGTTTACCTGCCTTATCGTGACGAGGAGTACCGATTTCCAGGAACTATAAGGCTGGATGAATTGAATGTAACTTGAATACCTCTACTCGCAGCTCGCACACATCACCATTTGGACAAATAAATTCCGATGGAACCAAGTACTATCGGAAGGAAGCCCGCTGATAATCTAACTTTAAAAGGAGACTTGCCTTTACCATCCGCTTTAAACCATCCCTGAGCATAAAATCAAAAGACCTGACGTGAATACGGCTGAGCCTCTCCATCCACGTGCGGGACCGGCACTCAGCACGCTTCACAAATGATGCAGAGCTCCACACTGTAAATCCCCAAGTCCTATAGGCCAAACAAATAAGCCAATCAGAGCACCACCCAATAGAAGCAAACCTAAATTATTTTTGCGCTACTTATAAGCTTGCTGAAAGCTCCTTGAAAACCCCTCGAAATTATTTTCGCCGAAACCATGGGGCTTTTGAGGTTGCAAATTTTATGAGGAGTTAGTCCAGTCACGCTGCACGCCTCAGTCATAGGTTGCCCATAGTATTTTTTGAGTACGAACTTCCACGTAATCATCATTAATCATCATGTAATCACCAGTTAACGAGATAAAGCTCGAAAACAAATATGAGCATATTTGATTTTTTGCAGTGTTCTTCAAATTGAAGATAACATCTACGGAAGCCGGTTTGTCTGTATTTCAGGGCGCGCCCAGACAGAAGAAAAAGCACATGTGCGCAGGGTGACGCATCCCCAAGGTCGCTATCGGTTCGACACGCCCGGAAAGTAGGTGAGTTGGCGGTTCCCACGAAACACGGCTCCCACCTAACACGGCTTAGTAACAGACGACCAGCGTAGTGGGCCTGAGAATGTTCACGACCGGAACACCACCGCTGGCTGTACGGAGCGAACAAGTGAACGAGCATATTTGGCCAATTAGTCATCTCATATATTTACGCAGACGCTCTGTACGTTTTGTCCTGGCAATACAGCCGTGTCCCCAGTTCTCTGTCTTCTCCCTATCACGTAGTCTGGCAGGTGCAGTGCAAGCGTAATCCATAGCTCGGCCACCACTACGACACAACACTGTAAGAAGTTTAAGAGACAGCTCCGGCTATTTGTGCGAGTTTCTGACGAACTGGTTTATTCCTTTCAGTGAGTTCCCCAGAAACTGTACCACAAGCAACCGGTTATGTGTACAGCGCATTGCACAACTGAAAGTCAAGCTGGCATCGCATACAGTGACCACACATTGGACAGACATTACTCGACTTTGTTAAATATGTGTGCTGGAGGGCAAGCTTTGTAGAGTATATCTCTTAGATCAACCGGCCGCAGTGTATAATTCATTCGGGATGGTTGCGCCTGCTTATAAACCGTGAAAATTACACCCTAGCCTGGTAAGAACACACGCAGGCAGATATGCATTCACTGGAAAAACGTATCTAGAAGACTATTTGCGCCGAGGCGCTCGCTGCGAAACGCAGTCTTATGCTCCAGCACTCGATATACACGTTCGCATTATTCTCATCTTTATGGCGCTCGAGCAAACGTCATAACCACGCCTAGAGTTTGAACGCCGCTGGCTATTCGCACAATGAGATTGCTTTCTCGAAATCTACGGCATTTTCAGACTTGCCACTTCATAGTGAAGAATGTCTATGTAGAATGTATATGCTCGTGTATTATTAGAAATCCTTTACTATGGTGATTTGTTTAAGTGAACTAAATCTCCTGGTGAACAAACACCGCCGACTCTGAATACCTTACCGGATGATAAAAAATCGCGAATTGTGGAAAAGGTTGACTCACATACAATGAACGTAACTTTCAGGTATTTTTACACCGGAACAGATTTCCTCAACATTCTAGAATCTACATGGCCTTTGGAGATGCAACATATGCGTAGGCGCATTCGCGCAAACAAATTTTGGCCGATGATTCTTTGTTGCCAGTAAAAATTCCGTGGTGCACGCTAATTATTTGCTGAACATCGTGCACGTTGACTAGCAAATTACAGAGTTTTTAATTATAGGTTCCGAATTATGCTAGAATGTCCTCCGGGTTCATCGATCTTAACCGACGCACATCACTAACATGCGGCTAGGGGTACGCGATACCTGACTAACTAACCACATAGAGCCTACGTCGATAATACCAGACAGCTGAACGATCTTAACCGACGCACACCATTGACATGCGGCTAGGGGTACACGCTGCCTAACTAATCCATCCATCCGTAACGGACAAAAGGCCAAAAATGGACGTCTTCAAATTTTGAGATATATTGGTCATTTTGAAGTTTACATATGTCCTTCTGTGAGGCGCATTTTCTTCTTCGTGAGGAGCGTTCATTTGTCCGTTGAAGTCCTGAAATGAGAGGAAGATATAATTCACGTTATCGAAATATCAACATAAGGCGGGCGGCCGATATACAGGTAGAGATTCTTACCTCAAAATTCACTGCAGCGACTATGCTGTCGTAGATGCCTGTTCACATAATGCCATCTTCAGCGGTTATTTTGCATGCCTGTTTACTGTACCTCTCAAGAAATACTATGCTTACATGTAATGCATAGGACCTCATTAACAGACAAACTTTTGTAATATGATGAACATAAAACCTACTGTACAGCATTATCCAGGCGTGCCATGCGGTGAAATATGTGCCGGCTGTTCACAGAATGTGCCTATGACCATAAATACGTGAATATTAAATGATACATACGTGCTTCCCAATGGCTTTACGGACATGAAAGTAGCAAAGCATAATGTCACAGCCGAAGGCGACCCTTGCTGCACGCATTTGCGCCGCCAACTTGTCCATTACGAAGGTCCTGACCGGATACGCTTCGCCCATCATTTCTTTGACCAAGCCGAACAGTTTACGCATGGGAGCAAACTGCTCGCTCTCTACGAACGCATACATAACCGGACGCCCGGTTCCCATGCCGTCCGTTATCAAGAATGTGTATAGTTTATATCTAAATGCCGAATATTATATGCTTTAAAAAACTTACCAAAGGCGGTTTGTTGCATGTGTCCCGTCCACATTTAGTACATCGGGAAAGCGTCGGAATAACGCTATCTGCTGCCATCGGGAGAAACATATGTGGCTATAGTGACCTTCCTCTCCCTGACACACAAGGACGTGTCCGGTCTCCCAGAAGGCATATCATCTGCTACATTAAAACCCAACCATTCGGCACCTACTCAACGTAGCCGGTCGACACTTCCGGCGGTAGTTGTGTATATCCTTAGTTGTAAGAATCTTTCCGAATTCATCCGCCACAAACTGCCGCACCTCAGATGACGGCGTTCCATATCTCAGCAGGGCCTGGCATGTGCCCAACTCGTCTTCGGTTAAGCGTCGATTGACTGGAAGCCGATCGTAAAGAAACTTTGACAGTTTGTGGTTGTGTTCCAGAAAATAAGACGTCACTGCCAGTTGGTTCCTTTGCCTCCGTAGACAAAACCGCACTGGACAGCTGGTGCTTCGCGTACTTTTTTATTAGAAATTACGCTCGGCTTACTAACTTCTTCGGATTCCACGGCTTTCCGTTTTTCTTGGAGGGCGCCTGCTGCATTTGTAGCACACCCATTCGTAACGCAAAATAATGTTGGTGCTTCGATTACTGGATCAACGCACAAATATAGTTATCTTATCCTTCATGTATTCATTTAAGGTCTTCTCAAATGCCGTGAAGGGTGAAAACGATACACCCACAAATTTCTCAACGAACTTCCGAAGCAAATACATTGTGCGTCTAGCCGCTGGCAGTTTGAACAATTATTCGACTCTCCCGTTAAAGCGAGTTAATATCCCAAAACTTCATACCACTCATATGGTCTATACTCTTGACCATATCGATACCTCATATTCCTTTTCCACCGGATAGCACCCAGTTTCCAAGTTGATGTAGTTCAAAAATGCGGTTTGGTGGCACGAAAAATTGCACTCCGGGGATTTTGGTGCAAGCCTCGCATTCCAATTTCATCGGTGCTTGCTCCGGGTCTGTAAGTCTATCATGGATGAATTTGTCCTAGAAGATAACAGCATGAGCATAAAAAAGACGCCTGTGGAACAGGCGCACCCAGTGAGTTAGCTTGAAGCTGTTGCGGAGTAACGGGCGTCTGCAAAACAAAAATTGATTTCCTCCGCTATATATCTGAAATGATGGTTTTCCGTTTGCTGCTTACCTCGTCATCCATCGGTCAACGAATGGATGGCAAAGAGGGCGGCAAAACATACGGCAGCCACCAGTGAGAAAACATTGTGATCCCGCTTGTAATATTTCTCTCCTTCTAATCAACACCCGCTCTCTTACCTAAATTGCACTTCATCCAAAACAACTCCACTGTAGCTGGTCCAACCTATATATTCATCGCCGGGATGTGGCCATCTTTCCGCGCACCTGAGGTTCTTATCTGTCTTCCGGGATAAATTATCTTCTGTTCTGAACGTTCGCACCGCCGTAGTGGTGGTTGCCTTATATAAACTACATCTGGAATAGACGTCACCCCTCTTTACGATCCGCCACTGGCGGACACTCCAGACACTCTAGCTTTCAGGCCGTCAGGCTGAAGCGCCGTTCATCCCCTGGCGTTTATACATGTTCCATCCACACCCAACTATCTCGACTAACCAACCATCCACGCTACTTATCCACACGTGCACCACCTCGCCCAAACAGATTAATCGCTGATGATCCTAAGCTTCCAGAGTTCTTCTGATCTCAACAAGAATCCCCTTTACGCTTTTCGGCTCTGCGTTTCCAACGTGATGTTGGGGGCTTGTCTCAGCTTGTGAGATATCCCACATCCGATCCCCACTCCATGGACTTTGCCCTTGTCATTGGCCATCTGTGACACACCGCTGCAGTTAGTCAGAAGTTCCCTGATAGTGGCCATCGTCACTTGTAGCTGGACGAGTTATCAACCCTCTCCTAACCCTCGTAAGCCCCTCATCCTTTCTTCTGACATCCTTG